CTTATATATATAAATAGGACTTAACCTTCTTATTATCACAAAATTTTATGTATTACGGCATTAACATAATGCAGTTGGACCCACATTATTTTATATAAATAGGACTTAACCTTCTTATTATCACAAAGTTTCATGTATCACGTCATTAACATAATGCATTTGGACCCACATTATTATATATAAATAGGACTTAACCTTCTTATTATCACAAAATTTTATGTATCACGTCATTAACATAATGCAGTTGGACCCACATTATTATATATAAATAGGACTTAACCTTCTTATTATCACAAAGTTTTATGTATGTCGTAATGTTTACAAAATACTTGTAAGTACCTTAATGATAGTTAGCTCAAGCAAATATAATCATTATTAAGAACAAATTAGAACTGTCTTCTTTTCAAGGTAATTAGGCTTATCCGGAATAATAAAAGTTGTACCATTGATCCTTCATCTACTGTGTCCAGACTCAGAACAGTCACATGAAACCTAACGACTGTTGGTTTTCCTGCAGGAGAGAAAAAGTAACTTATAGTTATAAAACGTTTCGTGTCTGTTAATATATTCAGAAGAAAAAAAACTTCTTTACTCTAGTGAATACCTGTGAATAATAAACAAATTTATAGTTATTGTAGGAGATTATACCGGATCATTATAAACTTTAAATGTTGCTATTCATCCTTTATCTTTTCGTAAAACTTCAATCTTTCTTCCAAGATCAAACCTCACAAATTGGCATCTTTATAGTTCGAAGTACCAAGATTAGTACTGTTTAGAAACAAAAATATCAATTGGCTAAATATAAGGTTTGTTTAAATAACATAATAAATACAAATGTTGGCTATTCTTCCCTTACAGAGGGTTTTTTCCTTATTGTTTTCTTTATTAGACCAGATATTGATTGCCAATGCAAAGTTTAATTATTTCGTGATTTGATTTTCAAAAGAGCAAATATAATTATTTTCAGTTTAATCTTTTGAAATAACAACATTTTCTAGAAACATTAACAATAACAATTCAGTTTAAATACTTTGCAACATTTGTTTTTGACTTTATAAATTTACGAAAGCAAACACGCACTGCCAATAAAACTTTTGTCCCTAACAATTGCATTTTTTATTTTGAAAAATTGTACATTTATTTTCTAGTATTTTCAATAGCACATCGTGTATGTATCTCATGTTGAAAAGAAAAACTACTAAGTTCTGTACGCGTATCTTAAAAGATCTTCATTCAAAGAAAATAAACTATTAAAGATGTTTATCTGTTCTACCATTTCATGATCAACCATATAATTTTAATAGCAATCTAACTGACTTTTATAGATCCAAAATGATCAAAAATTTAAGGTTT